AAAGGTTTAAATGTAAGACCTCAAACTACGAAAATCCTAGAAGACAAGCTAGGAAAATCTCTTCTTGACATTGGCCTTGGCAAAGAATTTTCAGTTAAGTCCCCAAAAGCAATTGCAACAAAAACAAAAATTGACAAGTGGGATCTAATTAAACTAAAGAGCTTATGCACAGTAAAAGAAAATATCAACAGACAACCTACAAAGTGGGAGAAGATATTCACAAACTGTGCATCTGACAAAGGCCTGATATCCAGAATCTATAAGGAACTTAAGCAAATTAAGAAGAAAATAATAATAATAGCCCCATTTAAAAAGGGCAAAGAACATGAACAGAAACTTCTTCAAAAGAAGATATTAGAAGCAGCTAACAAACATTTTAAAAAACACTCAGCATCACTAATCATCAGAGAAATGCAAATCAAGACCACAATGTGACACCATCTCAAACTAGTCATAATGACTATTATCAAATGATCAAAAAGCAGCAGCTAGTGATTTGATAGAAAAAAGGGAATACTGTTAGTGGGAATATAAATTAATGCAGTCATTACAGAAAGCAATGTGGAGATTTATCAAAGAACTTAAAATAGAACTACTATTCAATTCAGCAAGTCCATTACTAGGTATATACCCAAAGGAAAAGAAATGATTCTACCAAAAAGACACATGCACTCGTATGTTCGTTGCAGTACTATTCACAATAGCAAAGACATGGAATCAACTAGGTGCCCATCAGTGGTAGACCGGTTATAAAGAAAATGCACATATACACCATGGAATACTACACAGCCATAAAAAAAAAAAGAATGAAATCATGTCCTTTGCAGCAACATGGATGCAGTTGGAGGCCATAACTCTAAGCAAATTAACACAGGAAGAGAAAATCAAATACTACATGTTCTCATTTATAAGTGGGAGCTCAACATTGAGCATAAATGGACATAAACATGAGAACAATCGATACTGTAGACTACCAGAGTGGGGAGGGAGTGAAGGGGGCATGGGTTGAAAAACTGCCTATGCTGTACTGTGCTCACTGCCTGGGTGACGAGATCCATACCCTAAACCTCAGCATCACACAATATTCCCAGGTAATAGACCTGTACAGGTACCCCCTGTATCTAAAATAAAAGCTAAAATTGTTAAAAATTCTTCAGAAATAATTGCAACAACTGATAACAAAAGAAATATACTTAATGTATCCCATGAGATTTAAAAAATGGAAAATATGAAAGAATGTTAAAAGTCATGGAAGATAGACATTCCAATGTACAGTCAAAAAGAGTTCAGAAAGAAATAATAGAAGACAAGGGTTCGTGTTTGGCTGAGAATTTCCAGAATTATTCAAAGACAAATCTTCAGTTTCAGAAGCTCACTGAATTGTTTTAAATTCTCACCTAGACAGATCATTGTGAAATTTCAGAACACCAAGGCTGAAGAGATCTTTGAGGCAACCGGAGATAAAACTTAAATAGGCAGGTTAAAATATCCTGTGTAACCACTGAAAGAATATTTTTAAAGTATAACTTCTGAAACACATAAATACTAGCAATACAGAAGAAAAGAAAACTAAGTCACATCCAAAAGATGGGCGAAGGGAGAAAATTTGAAATAGAAAAGAATACATGGCAAAGCAATATGATGATAGTAATTAACCCAAATATATCATTAGCAAAATTAAATAGCAACAAAATATGCTCATTAAATAAACAAGATTGCATTCTGGATTCTCCCTGACCCCAAATTCTAGCTTCATGCATTTTACAGGAGGCATAGTTAAAAAAATAAAGACACAGAAAGTGCAAGAATGGCAAAGGATATAACAGGAAAAATACAAAAATAAAACAGTAGTGACTGAAAATAACTATTTTCATATCTAATTTTTGCCACGTGTATTTTTTTTTTTTTTTTTTTTTTTTTTTTTGAGACGGAGTCTCGCTCTGTCACCCAGGCTGGAGTGCAGTGGCCGGATCTCAGCTCACTGCAAGCTCCGCCTCCCGGGTTTACGCCATTCTCCTGCCTCAGCCTCCCGAGTAGCTGGGACCACAGACGCCCGCCACCTCGCCCGGCTAGTTCTTTTTGTATTTTTTAGTAGAGACGGGGTTTCACCGTGTTAGCCAGGATGGTTTTGATCTCCTGACCTCATGATCCGCCCGTCTCGGCCTCCCAAAGTGCTGGGATTACAGGCTTGAGCCACCGCGCCCGGCGCCACGTGTATTTTTTTAACTAATCTTACAAGAGGTTTATCAATCTTGTTAGTCTTTTCAAAAAATAAGCTTTCAACTTTGTTGATTTTTTTATTGCATTTTTAAAAATAAAATCTATTAAGAGAAAAAATATTTTTAACATTAAAAATTACTAGAGACAAAGAGGTTTACAACATGATAGCAGATTCAATTGAGCATGAAGTTATAAGAATTCCAAATTTTCACTTATATACCAATATAATGTAGACATATATATAGTCAAAATAACCAGTTGGAATAATAGGCAGACACACAACATTACAGAAGGAGATTTGAACATACCTCTCTTGTAACTGATGGATAAAGCAGTGGGGAAAATCAATGAATGTTATATATTGAACAGTACAGTTAATAAACTTGCGTTAATGGACATACACAGAATATAGATTCCCAAATCATGTTTTCAAACACATAAGTCTCAGAAACTGACCCAGATGATACATCATGAAAATTAATATGTAATGATGTATTTACTGACCATTAGGCAATTAAATTAAAAATGAGTAACAAAATGATAACTAGAAACAGAACACAAAATCGAGAATTTTAAAACACATTTTAATAGTTAATGGGCCAAAGAGAGAATCATAACAGAAATTAGAAAATATTTAGAACTGAAGAGAAATTTAAATACTCTGAAGCAAATGAGTTATTGGAGGAAATTTTATACCTTTAACTGCTAACATTAAAAAGCCTGAAACTTAACTAACATACTATCTAATTTAAATAGTTAGAAAAATAAGAGCCTAACAAATTCAAAGAAAGTGTAAAGAATGAACAAATAAAAGTAAAATTTAACCAAACAGAAAATGGGGCCGGGCGTGGTCGCTCACGCCTATAATCCCAGCAATTTGGGAGGCCGAGGCGGGTAGATCACCTGATGTCAAGAGTTCAAGACCAGCCTGGCCAACTTGGCAAAACAATACAAAATTAGCCAGGCGTGGTGGCGGGTACCTGTAATCCCAGCTACTCGGGAGGCTGAGACAGGGAGAATTACTTAAATATATATATTTATATAGCTGTTATATAAATATATATATTTGTATGTATATTTGTATAGCTGTTATAACATTGAAATCTAAGAAGATATGACAACTTTAGGCCAACAAATGTGAAAAATTTAAACAAATTGTTACATTTCTAAAAAATACACTTCACTAAATATGATTTAGAAAAATTAGAAAATTTAATTTGTACTTAAGTATTCAAGTAATTAAATTAATAGTTAAAATTATTTCTACAAAGAAAGCACAAGGCCTAGATGGCTTTACTACTGAGTTCTATATATTCTTCCAGTTAGCACATAAAAACATAAGATGCTACTTCTTAACTCCTCCTGTGAGATGAGCAAAAGCCCCATGCCATAACCTAGCAAAATCATCACAAACTATTCTCATCCATGAATATAGATTCAAAAAATTCTGAACAAAATATTAGCAAATTGAATCTAGGAAGTTTACTTTTATATTAAAATATCTATCAACAAAATTCCCATTTTAAGGGATTAATGAGGAAACATAAAAATCTTAATAAATACAAATAAATCATTGCTACATAGTAAAAAAAAATTTAGTAAACAAGGATTAAGAGGAAGAAAAGTTGCTGAGCTTTATAATGGACATATGCATGTACAGAAACCTATAGCAAATATAGTATGCAGTACTGGCTCTTCAAAAGCATTTCCTTTAAAAATGGGGAACTAGATGAGGATGACAGCTATTGCCACTTCTGTTAAACATTATACATCAGTCTTAATTCCATTCTGTAATATAGAAAAGTTATTAAAGTGTGTATAGACTGAAAATAAACTACCATTAGTCAAAAATACTATAAAATCTGAGGAAGCGTTACCAAAGTATAAGAACAGATGTACCGAGGCAAGCCAAAGAAGCATGTATTAAATATGGTCCTCCCTAGAATTCTTTAGAGAGGATTTATAGAGTGTTTCCATAATGATGTAAAGTTTTATTGGACAGTGCTAGTCTATAGGGTTAGCCCTTGATATTTTTTGCATCTGTACAAAAAGCCAATATCCAGAATTATTCATTCTGTGTCAATTATTTTTCTCTATATCAAGTTAAGATCTACTTAGGACTCATATCAAGTTAAGATCGACTTGCCATAATTTTAGCATTTGAGGGTTCACGTCTTGGCCATCTCTCCCTGCTCAAAGTGTTTTATGAGAACTTTTTGTTTAGACCTGTCTTTTGTCCTCTTCCCAAATGTATGAATGCATTAACAAAATTCTACACTGGAAATTCCTAAATTAAACATGTTCATATCCCCAGGAACTTAGTCTCTAATTACTTATATGCACTTCGTTCTTTGGAAAGACATTAATTAACTTATCAGCTTGTTTCTTTGAAATTTTCTTGAACGCTCAAATGTTTCAAAATTTGCCCTATCCATTCTCTACTGTTGAATTCTAGCCTCTATCTCCTGGCTGTACTTTACTCCCTTAATCAATTCATGTTAGAAGTGTTGAAAAATAGCCACTAGTGACTTCCTGACCCTATCAAGTGCCAGGAAGACTTATATGGATACCCACTTCACCAAAAATACTTCAGAATTTTATAATTGTCAGCACAAACTGTGTCACTGATGGCAGTGGCCACTCCAGACAGCCACTGGAATGTTCTTCAAAGATAATCATCTGGTTTTCAATTTTCTGAGCTTGATTTGATCATCACTGGAGGATTTGTTGTCCTGGGGATAGTTGATTTCCTGTAATATAACCTAATCTTATCTTTTCAGAAAAGCTAACCAACATCTCAAACACCACCAGAACCGTCGTACGTAATTCATTGCTGCTCTTTCCCAATTACAACCTTGCAAAGTGCGTTAGTCAGTATACAACTATCTACGACGTGAAGATATTGTGCACCACCTTAAAGAAGCATTCTGTCCACCTAAATTGTAGCAAAGCAAGTAAGTACCTCAGGGTCCCTAAGTCTAGCAAATTAGCTTCAGCTTCATGCTGTAAAACACGTGGGGAATCTGCCCTTCCTTCATCGGAGAGCGTCAGGACACATGTTTTGTACATAAGTCCTTTTACAAGGCTGGAAAAACCTCCTTAAATATAATAAAGCCTCAGTCTGGGTGCGGTGGTTCACGCCTGTAATCCCAGCACTTTGGGAGGTCAAGGTGGGCGGATCACCCGAGGTCAGGAGTTCGAGAGCAGCCTGGCCAACATAGAGAAACCCCGTCTCTACTAAAAATACAAATATTAGCCGGGCATGATGGTGCGCACCTGTAATCTCAGCTACTCAGGAGGCTGAGGCAGGAGAATCTCTTGAACCCAGGAGGCAGAGGTTGCAGTGAGCCAAGATCGTGCCACTGCGCTCCATCCTGGGCGACAGAGCCAGACTCCATCTCAAAAAACCAAACCAAAACAAATAAATATAATAAAGCCTCAAAAGCAAATCCATGGTAAGTTTAAAGTGGTCATCAGATATACAATAAGAAGTACTAATAATCAACCATGTACTAACTTTACCTGCATTATTGTAAGTCTTCACAACAATCTCAAGTTACCTGTTTTTATACTCATTTGAGGAAAATGACTGTGTGTCATACAGCTCTTATGGTCCAGACTGGGATTCAAAGTTTTTTTCTTCCACTGCATAATGCATTCCCATAAGGAAGGATTTTTCTGTCTTCACCGTTTTTATTTAATACTGTTTAGTGGTTATTAGTTTAAAAGTGTTGCAACTATGTTGCTCATTTTATTCCTATGTATCTTTTGATGCTATTATAAATGATATGACTTTTTGAAATGTCATTTTTGTTTGTTGCTGATATAGAGAAATACAGTTGAAAAAGTTCATTTTCTGTATATTATTGAACTTGTAAAATTATTTTAATAATTTAGGTGTATATTTTTTATTTTAATGGATGTATTCAAAGCAGCTGCTAATAACGTATTTATTTTCCAATCCATGTACACTTATTTTTTGTTCTTGACTCCCTGCTTTGTCAAAGACACATAGTTCAAATTTAATCAAACTGGTCATCATAGACCTTCAGTTTCGTTTCAATTTAAAAGATAACATTATAATATTTTACTATCAAGAATGATGTTTTCTATAGAAACCCTTTATCAGAATCGAGAAGTTTCTTTCTATTCTGTGTTTAGTTTATTTAATTATGAATACATGTTCAATCTTTTTTTTTTTTTTTTTTTTTTTGAGACGGAGTCTCGCTCTGCCGCCCAGGCTGGAGTGCAGTGGCCGGATCTCGGCTCACTGCAAGCTCCGCCTCCCGGGTTTACGCCATTCTCCTGCCTCAGCCTCCCGAGTAGCTGGGACTACAGGCGCCCGCCACCGCGCCCGGCTAGTTTTTTGTATTTTTTTTTTAGTAGAGACGGGGTTTCACCGTGTTAGCCAGGATGGTCTCGATCTCCTGACCTCGTGATCCGCCCGTCTCGGCCTCCCAAAGTGCTGGGATTACAGGCTTGAGCCACCGCGCCCGGCCCATGTTCAATCTTAACAGGTGTTTTTTACTGCTTCTATTGAACTTTTCTTCTTTGTTCTCTTGAATTACATATTTATTCCATTGAACTACATGGTGAATTATACAAGCTGAATTTGCAATGGTACATGATAACAAATCAAGTAATAAATTAGGTAAAGCAAGCATTATTGTGATATATTAAATGTTATATATTGTGGATTAAGTTCACTAATATTAATTAAGGATTCTTGTGTCTATGTCTATTAAAAAGATTAACCTAAAATTATTGGGAATTTTTAGTGAAATACTTACCAACATTTGGTATAAAAATTAAACAGGATGGGCATGGTGGCTCATGCCTGTAATTCCAACACTTTGGGAGACCAAGGCAGGTGGATCACCTGAGGTCAGGAGTTTGAGTCCAGCCTGGCCAACATGGTGAAATCCTGTCTCTACTAAAAATACAAAAATTAGCTGGGCGTGGTGTAGCACGCCTGTAATCCCAGCTACTTGGGAAGCTGAGGCACAACTATCGCTTGAACGTGGGAGGCAGAGGTTACAGTGAGCCAAGATCATCCCACTACACTCCAGCCTGGGCAACAGAGCGAGACTCCATCTCAAAAAAATAAATAAATAAACTTTATAAAATAAAAAATAAAGTAAGAAGTGCTTCCTATTTTTTATTTGCTCAAAGACTTTGTGTATCTACCAACATATCTTCTTAAATGTTTGGTGTTATTTCCTCTTAAATAGGGTGTAATTCATATGTAAAGTTAATTATGCATGGAGATTGTCCTTTGGGGAGGTTTTTAATTGTTCACATTTCTAAGTGAGGATTATTTGGGTATCTTATTAATAATCTGGGTGAGAAGTTGTTAGCTGAGTTTTTACAGGACCATTTCACTCCATCTAAATTTTCCAGTTTATTGGAATACATTTATTCACAATACCTTATGGTCTTTTTAACATCTGTAGGATTAATAATGATGTCTCCATTTTCATTTCTGTCTAATTTTTGCCACTTGTGTTTTTTTAAACAGTCTTAAAAGAAGTTTATCATCTTGTTTGTCTTCAAAAAATAAGTTTTCAACTTTGTTGATTTTTTATTGCATTTTTAAAAATTTATTTTCTACATTATTTTCCTCTTCTACATTCTAAATTTGGGAGATTAATTCTCTAACATCACAAGATGAGCCCTTAGATTGTTTATTGTCACTCTGCATTCTTTTTGTGACTAGAATGTATCTCAGTGTGGTTGGAGGGATTGGCATTTTTTCTACTTAGATGCTCTAAGTTTCTAACATCTGTGATTTGATGTCTCATTACTTTTGGAAGATTGTCATTCTTGGGAAGACAAAATTTCTGGGAAAAGTCAGGACAATTTGGAAGATAGAATTGTCCCTTGGAGACTTGAGATGTAGAAAGAAGGAAACATACAGCATAAGTTAAGGGTCCTGAAGAACCAAAAGGCTATCAGGAAATCAGAAAACTGTATCCACACTACCACCACCACCCCATCACACCCTCCCCAGTAAAAAGACATTTACATGTAAAGAAACTATATTTCACTCTACCAACAGAAATAGCTGTCATAAACCAAGCAACCATGTCATCTTCTCAAACCATTATCACCATTTCATAGAATTACTGTTTTTGATGGTCCATGAGAATTCACAGTTCACACCAGAAAGAGGTAGGATACATTTATACAAAGTATGAAAGGAGGACAAAAAGGAATAAAAACAGTGCACATGACAAAATAACCTTTAAAAAACACAAAGGCAACATACTTACGAATACACCCATGGTGGGGGCAGAAAATGTATCAAACTGTTAGCAATGTTGATACTATGCAGAGGGAACAGTGTTTATTTTATTACTATTATTTCGATTTCACTTTATGTTTGAGAATTTTAGAAATAAGGAGAAAATGGGCTTCAGACAACTATATGAGAGTATGATACTGTTTTTATAAAGCTCAAATTTAGAAATTAAAATATTGGTAGTGCATACATGTAAAGATCAACTTGTATGTAATTAACACAGGAAATCAGAACACAATTCATCATAGCAGCTACCTGTGGAGAATAGAAAAGTGAAGGATCACATAAGTATTCTGTTTACAATATTTGTAAACTTTTCATTTTGAGGCTTGGCTTATAGATGCCATTATGATATTATTCTTAAAATTTATAAATAAGGCCAGGTGCGGTGGCTCACGCCTGTAATCCTAGCATTTTAGGAGGCCGAGGTGGGCAGATTACTTGAGGTCAGGTGTTCGAGACCACCCTGGCCAATGTGGTGAAACTCTGTCTCTACTAAAAATACAAAAATTAGCCGGGTGTGGTGGCATGCACCCAGCTATTCAAGAGGCTGAGACAGGAGAATCGCTTGAACCTGGAAGGTGGAGGTTGCAGTGAGCCAAGATCGTGCTACTGCACTCCAGCCTGGGTGATAGAGTGAGACTCAGTCTCAAAAAATAATATACATATATATATGCATAAATATTATACCATATAGTCTTTGATATGAGTCAAGTATTTTTAAAACATAATTCTAAAGTATGAGAAATGTAAAAGATGAAATAATAGTAGATATAATGGTCTACCCAGAAATCTGAAATAATCCCCTAATGAACTATTAGATTCTATAATAATTAATGTGGTTGCTGAACTCAGAATAAATACAAACATAAAATTCAATTGCATTTCTATACATCAATGACAAAGACTTATAAAATGTGATTCCGAAAAAGGGAGAGTTCAGTGGCCAAAACTAGAACAGTTTGAGCAACAAAATAAGGTAGTACTGGATTATAACCCAAAATATAACAAATAATATCTATAAGTCTATTTTGATTTATTAAAGTAATTCTGATATTTAGTTTGACATCTATTTAAATGATGTTCAAATATATCTATTCGAATTCAAATATATAATTTCTAGTATATAAAGGGGGAAGAAAGGAAAAACTTTATAGCAGAGAAAACTGAAAAACACCACCTCAATCAAGTGACCAAGAGCAACGTCAGCAGTAAATAATTCGCTTTGAGTGTATGGAGCTCTCCTTTTAAATATGATAAAGATTGAATTTTACCTTTGCGGTATTCCTTCCAAAAACCCATAACCTCATTCTAATCATGAAAAAAACCTTATATAGATCCCAATTGAGGGTCTCCCAGATCGTATTCTACAAAATACCTGACCCCCAGTACTCCTCAAAAATGTCAATGCCATTAAAAATAAGAAAAATCCAAGAAACTATCACAGCCAAGAGGAACCTAAAAGACATGGCTATTAAATGTAATGTGGTATCTGGATTGGAGCATGGAACAGAAAAAGGACATTATATTTTAAAAACTAGGACATCTGAATAAATTAGGTACATTAGTTATAATGTATTAATATTCATTAACTGTAACATGTATCTTACTAGTATATGTTATTAGAGATACTGGGTACCAGATATATGGAGCGCTCTACTCTCTTTACAATTTTTCTGTAAATCTAAAACTATTCTAAAATATCCTTTTTTAAAACAAGGAGAGGAAAGTTTATAATTTTCTTATAACAGGATTTTTTTTTTTTTTTGAGATGGAGTCTTGCTCTGTCATCCAGTCTGGAGTGCAATGGCCCGATCTCGGCTCACTGCAACCTCTGCCTCCCAGGTTCAAGTGATTCTCCTGCCTCAGCCTCCCAAGTAGCTGGGATTACAGGTGCCAGCCACCACACCTGGCTAATTTTTGTATTTTTAGTAGGGACGAGGTTTCACCATGTTGTCCAGGCTGGTCTCAAAGCCCTGACCTCAGGTGATCCGCGTGCCTTGGCCTCCCAAAGTGTTGGTATTACAGGCGTGAGCCACTGTGCCAGGCTATCATTTTCTTGTAACATGAATTCTGTGCCTTTTATTCATGAACTTTCCAAGAAAGTTTTACAAGTGTCAGCTAATGGTCAGTTTTACATTATTTAAAGGCGAGTGTGTCTTCTTTTCCAAGAGTATTTGTACTTTAAAGCTTTCTTCTAATTAGCAACTTAAGATTTCACATTTCTGAAAGGATTTGGGATATATTGTTCATAGTAAGCAATGATTATTAGACATATAAATAAATATATTAATATACATATGCTTACTTAATTACCATGCATTATGTTAATGAAGGCGATCTCCAAAATTTATTGTTCAAATGGCATTTTTGTAGCAGGATAAGTACTTCTCACACTAAATACCTTGTCTCAATTTAGTCTAATATTTGATTTTATACTATATTTTTTCTTTGTTGTTTTCCGAGTTCTTGTTCATTCATAGTATCAATGTTGTGCACTAAGATTAGCCGTCTTGCATTTTCTTTTTTGCCAATTTCAGATACTGAGAAGAATATTTATTCTTTGGAAGAGCCTATGATTGGAAAGTATTTGATTGACATGAGTACTGCAGGCTTTATTTTCCTTGTGTTGATTTTCTTTTGGGAGACTACTTCATGGAGACTAAGAACATTCCTCAATCAATACATTTACTTTGGTATCTACAAGCGATACAGGAAAGTAAGTACTCAAGTGTGGAATAATTTAAAAACAACTCTAAGAGAATTGAAAATTAGGTCTGAGAGGTATGTATCTATATACTGTTACCTTAGCCAGCCTGGTGGCATGCTTCTGTGGTCCCAGCTACTCAGGAAGCTTGGAAGTTATTTGATGAAAGAAAAATCTGTGTCTACAAGACTGTATTTTCTTAACCTATATTGAGATAGAATTACCTACACTAAATTGCATTCTTTTTGTTGGTCATTTCAAAGGTCCAGATTTTGTCTTTATGAATTTTCTCTAATGCTGACTATTTTCTATTTCACTGATAATCTAATTCTTTTTCATGGCTGAAAAGTACTCCATTGTGTATAAGTATCATATTTTGTTTATCCATTCATTCATTGATGGGTAGTTAGGTTACTTTCGAATCTTGGATATTGTGAATAGCATGCCTGCTAAGGGTCTGTCACATATGGCTTTTATTAGGTTGAGGTACGTTCCTTCTATACTCATTTTTTAGGGTTTTTATCATGAATGGATGTTGAATTTTATCAAATGCTTTTTCAGCATCAATTGAAATGATTATATAGTTTTTGTCCTTCATTATGTTGATATGATGTACCACATTGATTGGTTTCTGTATCTTAAACCATCCTTGCATCCCTGGGAGAAATCCTACTTGGACATGATAAAATGATCTTTGTAATGTATTGTTGAATTCAGTTTGCTAGTATTTTGTTGAGAATTCTTGCATCAGTATTCATCAGGGATATTTGTCTGTTGTCTTCTTTCTTTTTTTATGTATCTTTATCTGATTTTTATTACTGCCTTAATTTCATTGTTTATGCAAAGTCATTCAGGAGCAGATTATTTAATTTTCATTTAATTGTAAGGTTTTGAGCAATCTTCTTCATATTGATATCTATTTTTATTGCACTGTGGTCCAAAAGTGTGGTTGGTATGATTTTGTGGGGTTTTTTTAATAATATGTTAAAGACTGTTTTATGGCTGGTTGTGTGGTCAATTTTAGAGTATGTGCTATGCACAGATAAGAAGAATGTGTGTTCTGTTTTTGAGTAGAGAGTTCTGTGGGTGTCATTTAGATTCATATGGTCAATGTCGAGTTCAGGTCCTGAATATCTTTGTTAATATTTTGCCTCCATGATTTGTCTAATACTGTCAGTGAGGTGTTGAAGTCTCCAACGATTATTGTGTGGTTATTTAAGCCTCTTTGTGGTCTCCAAGAATTTGCTTTATGAATCTGGGTGTTCCTGTGTTGGGTGCATACATATTTAGGATAGTTAGGTCTTCTTGTTGAATTGAACCCTTTGCCATTATGTAATGCCCTTCTTTGTCTTTTTTGATCTTTGTTGGTTTAAAATCTGTTTTGTGTGAAATTAGAATAGCAACCCTTCTTTTTTTCTGTTTTCCATTTGCTTAGCTTTTTCTCCATCTCTTCACTTTAAGCCTGTAAGTATCATTGCATGTGAGATGGATTTCTCGAGTATAGCATACAGCTGAGTCCTGCTTCTTCATCCAACTTGCCACCCTGTGCCTTTTAATTGGGGTATTTAGCTTATTTATATTCGAGGTTAATACTGATATATGCGAACGTGATCCTATCATCATGTCATTGGCTGGTTGTTATGTAGACTTGATTGTAGGGTTGCTTTATAGTGTCAAGGCTCTTTTACCTAAGTGTGTTTTTGTGATGGTCTTTCCTTTCCATATTTAGCACTCCCTTCACGACCTCTTGTGAGGCAGGTCTGGTGGCAATGAATTACCTTAGCATTTGCTTGTCTCAAAAGGATCTTATTTCTCCTTTGCTTATGAAACTTAGGCTGAATATGAAATTGATGGTTGGAATTTCTTTTCTTTACCAATGCTGAATATAGGCCCCCAATCTCTTCTGGCTTGTAGGGTTTCCGCGGAGAGATCCACTGTTAGCCTGATGGGGTTCTCTTTGTGGGTGATCTGTTCCTTCTCTCTAGCTGCCTTCAACATTTTTTCTTTCATTTTGACCTTCAGAAATCTGACGAATGTGTGTCTTGAGGATGGTTATCTTGTATAGTATCTCATAGGGGTTATTTGCTTTTCCTGAATTTGATGTTGGTGTCTCTAGTGAGGTTTGGGAAATTTTCATGGATGATATCCTGAAATATATTTTCCAAGTTTCTTACTTTCTCTCCCTGTTTCAGTGACAGCAGTAAGTCATAGATTTTATTTCATTACATAATTCCGTATTTCTCAGGTTTGGTTCATTCTTCTTTGTTGTTTCTTCTTTATTTTGTCTGACTCAGTTGTTTCAGAGAACTGGTCTTTGAGGTGAGCTTCTTTCCTCAGCTTGCTTGATTCTGCTGTTAATCCTTGCAGTTGTATTATAGAATTCTTGAAGTGTGTGTTATAGAATTCTTGACGTGAGTTTTTCAGCACTATAAGATCAGTTTGATTCTTTCTTAAAATGGCCACTTCATCTTTCATCTCTTGTATTGTTTTATTGTATTCCTTAGAGTCCTTGGATTGTGTTTTTACTTTCTCCTAAATTTTGATCATCTTTGTTCCTATCCATATTCTGATTTCTATTTCTGTCATTTCAGCCATTTCAGCCTAGGTATGAACCATCACTGCTGGGGAACTAGTGTGGTTGTTCGGAGGTAAGAAGATACTCTGGCTTGTTGAGTTGCCAGAGTTCTTGCACTGGTTCTTTCTCATCTGTGTGGGCTTGTGTTCCTTCAATATTTGAAATTGCTGTCCTTTGGATGGGTTGGTTTTTTGTGTTTTTTGTTTGTTTGTTTGTTTTTTGCTTGTATCTTTTTTTATGCCCTTGGGGATTTGATTGTGGTATAAAGTGGGTTCAGTTGACTGCTTTGTTTCTGGAAGACTTTAGGGGGCTAAGTCTCAGCTCAGTACTCTTGGACTGCATGCTCTATCTCTGAGGAGCTGGTCCTGGGCCCACAGCTTTGTTCTCTGGCCCCTGGAAGTTAGGGATCTGCTGCACTGGAGGGGCTGAAGTGGTCCCAGTTCACTGGCCAGAACACTCCAAGGAGTGGCGTGGGCCAAAGCACTTCACTGGGGCAGCGGCAGCAGGATCCATGCTTGCTTGCCTGTGCCAACAGCCACAGCGGTACAGCGAGGTGCACACGCCTCAGCTGATTGGGGTACTGTCAGAAGCAAGGCTGCCGCATACCTGCTGAGCTTGCACAAGTTCCAGTGGTGGTGTGGTAAGGGCGGGGTGCTGGCGGTGAGGGCTGGGATTGGGGGGTTCCAGTGTTGGTGCTCACACTCATGCTTGCAACAGTGATGGCGAGGGTGGGGCACTGGTGAGCATGGCGCTGTTGGCCTCCGTGGTGCTTGTGCTCCCAAAGGCAGCATTGGCAGCGCAGGGTGGATGAGGCTGCCAACATCCTTGTGCGCATTTGTAGCAGCAGTGGGGCGGCACCAGGGCGTGGGGTTGCCAATGTCTGCACGTTCGCGCCGGTGGCGGTGTCAGCGTCGGGGGTGTTGAACATCTTTTGCATACCTTTTGGCCATTCATATGTCTTGTTTCAAAAAATGTCTGTTCAGGTCTTTTGCCATTTTTAAATCAGATTATTTGTTTTCTTACTATTCTGTTGTTTTAATTGTTTATATATTTTGGATATTAATCCCTTATGAGATAAATGGTTTGCAGATATATTCTCCCAATCCATAGGCTGTCTCCTCACTCTATTGTTTATTTTACTCTGCTGAAACTTTTTAGTTTCATGCAATTTTATTTGTCTATTTTTGCTTTTGTTGCATGTGCTTTGTGGATTATTTGAAAAAAACCTTTGCCAGACCAATGTAAAGAAGCTCTTACCCTGTATTTTCCTCTAGGAATTTTGCAGTTTCAGGCCGTAAGTTTAAGTCTCTAATCCACTTTGAGTTCATTTTTTTTCTATTGAGTGAGATAAGGGTCCAACTTCATTCTTTTGCATGTGGATCTTCAAATTTCCCAGTAGCATTTATTAAGGAAACTGTCTTCCTCGCTGTGTCTTTTGGGCATCTTTGCTGAATATATTTGACCTTAAATGCATGATTTTATCTCTGGGCTTTCTGTTCTCTTCTGTTATTCTGTATGTCTGCTTTTGTACCAGTACTGCATTGCTTTGACTACTGTTACTTTGTAGTAGATTTTGATATCAAGTTGTGTGATGCCTGGAGTTTTGTTCTTATGTGCTCAAGATTTATTTGGCTATTTATTTGGAGGTATTTTGGGGTTTCATATGAATCTGAGAATTGTCTTTTCTATTTCTGTGGTAAGGGCCATTGGAATTTTGATAGGGATGGCATTGAATCTGCAGACTACTTTGGATGACATAAATATTTTAACAATATTAAATTTTCCAATCCATGAACACAGGATATCTTCCGTTGATTTTGTCTTCTACAAAATATTTAGTCACTGTTTTATAGTTTTCAGTTTGCAGACCTTTCAGCTCTTTCATTAAATTTATTGCTAAGTATTATTATGCTATTGTGAATGAGATTGGTTTTTGGATTTTTTGATAGGTAGTTATTAGTGAATAGAAATATTGATTTTTGAATGTTGATTTTGTATCCCACAAATTTATTAAATTCATTTGTTCTAACATATTTTTGGTGAAATATTTAGGGTTTTCTATTTCTAGGGTCATGGCATCTGCAAATAGGGACAATTCAATTTACTCCTTTTCAATTTGGATAACTTTTATTTCTTTTTCTTGCCTAATTGCTCTAACTGGGACTTTCAGGACTATGCAGAATAAAAGTGGCAAGAATGGACATCGTTGCCTTATTCCTGATCTTAGAGAAAAAGCTCTCAATTTTTCTCCATTGAGTATGATGTTTGATGTAGGTGTGTCATATATGGCCTTTATTGTGTTGAGGTACATTCTTTTAATACCTAATGTGTTGAGAGTCTTTTTATCATAAAGGATGTTAAATTTTGTCAAATGTTTTTTCTGCATTTATTCATATGAATCATATGTTTTTGTCCTTTCTTCGATTAATGTGGTATC